TTAAAGTTCCACCCGTAATGAATTTTTTCTCGAAAATGCGCAAGATTTCGGGGGTATGTGTAATGACCAAAAATGATTGTATTTAACCCCCGCAACCGAAAATACTGTCTACAAGATGTATAACTCCGTGAAAAGCGTCCTGCACTCGTCAAATCGCAAAAGCATACTTTTACACGACAATGCGCGACCACATACAGCAAAGGTGACTCGAGAAAAAATTCTTAAGCTCGGCTGGTCTGTTTTACCACATCCACCTTACTCCCCGGATCTTGCCCCGACAGACTACCACCTTTTCTGTTCCTTACAAAACTTTTTCAATGGAAAAACCTTCAATTCTGAAGAGCAAGTCAGGCAGGCTGTCGAGAACTTCTTCCAGTCCAAACCAACCACATTTTACAAGGAAGTAATTGATAAACTGCCAGGAAGATGGGAGAAAGTTATAAATAGTAGTGGTGAATACATAATAAATTAATATAATTTTGTTATTTAACAAGAGCAAAATAAATGTCTGGTGAAAAACGGAAGTTACTTATGACTCGACTTAATAACTATGAGAATCAAGAGTATTTAGTCTAGAGCGATAAGTGGTGTGAATGTTACACGACTAAGGTGCTCCAACTGGCAACTTATTTAGCTATAATCCAATTTAACTATTCAGGATTATTACAAATAATGAAGGTCCTCGATATTAAAATTGGACCACTGGCAAACGCATATCGACACAAACAGGGCACGCTTCGCCTTTCCTCTGCTGATCGAAAACACAAAACAGCGACGCATGACGTTCGGTTGAAGGAAAACGAGATATAAATGAAGGAGACGACGATGATCTTTCTACAGAGGATACGTTTTAGTGTCCTGAAGTGGATGCCCTTTAGAAAGTTTTAAAACTCCAACGGAAAAATGGAAGTTACCTATGACTCGACCTAATATATGCGTCTGATTTTATTGTTAAATCTACATTTTTAATCTTGACGAAGACTTTGATGGTCCCTTCAATTTCATCTTTGCTGAGAAAATTATCCCCTTTTAAGCAATTGTTTAAACGGTAATCCGATGAGTTTGGCGATTACGGTGGATATTTTAGGATTTCATAGTGTAGATCATTAAATTGTATAATTGTTGTTCGCGATGTATCTATGTATGAAGTGTTATATTATCGTTTAACAAAATAGGTTTCTACCCGTTTATGCAGATATTCTCAGCTTATTGGGCATATGATTGCATAATGTTTTTCGACTTTATCTCGATACATGCACAAACCATTTCAGTATATTTCAACTCAAGTTCATTATTTACTTTTCCGTGTTATAGAATTACTTTGAATTTTTCTTTCAAATTATAAAAATCTTAAAAATGTCGGTGGTGCTGTAGTTATGTTGCGCTGTGTAGCTGATATATAAAATTCTCTAACAATTTTTTGCTGTCAAATTTACAAGGTCTCATTTTTTTGTTAAATCTACATTTTTAAACTTGACGAAGACTTTGATGGTCCCTTCAATTTCATCTTTGCTGAGAAAATTATCCCCTTTTAAGCAATTGTTTAAACGGTAATCCGATGAGTTTGGCGATTACGGTGGATGTTGTAGGGTTTCATAGTGTAGGTAAATAAACCAACCACATTTTACAAGAAAGTAATTGATATACTGCCAGGAAGATGGGAGAAGGTTATAGATAGTAGTGGTGAATACCATAATAAATTAATATAATTTTGTTATTTAACGAGAACAAAATAAATGTCCGATAAAAAATACGGAAGTTACTTATGACTCGACCTAATAGTTTGTAATTTGAAAAGCAGTCGTAGTCTTCGTCGCAATATGGCGTCTCGTGGCACGTGCCACTTCTGCCCCTTCCTTGTTACGGTCTTGCAGCTAACAATAAGTATGTACTTACTCGTGGGCTCGAGAGATCGTGGGAAGATATCGGTAATGATCTTTTTACGAGCATCGTAATTTCGAGAACGTGTAAGGATATAGGAAAGTCTCGAGAACGATCGTTGTTTCGCACCAAAATGCCAAACATCGCCGATGTTTCCAAAGATTTGTCCCTCGATTGACAAAAACAGAGGTGAGAAAAACTTTTGATCGAACAATACAGCGTTTAAATTATTATTTCTTGGTAAAATATTTCGTTTCATAATTAAACACTTCATTTTCATTCGAACAGTAATGGATAAAGAGCCGTTTCTTTTTTGTTGTTGTTCGATATCTCTGTCCACGTATGAATTTGCCCTAACTTTAATCAGAAACGCGTTGAAAAAAATTCTGTTTTAAAAGTGTTCACTTTGCTTGTTTAACAAAGACTGTATTGTACACTGCTGGAGTATCACAATAGCACCACTTCTAGTATTATTTAATGATTTCAAAATGTTAACAGTATTAAGTTCATTATTTACTTGTTCGTGTTATACAATTACTTCGTTTTGAATTTTTCTTTTAATAAAAATGTCAGTGGTGCTACAGGTTAATACTGTCGTCTGCTACAATTGTTATTAGTTAAAACAGTATCAAGGAAACTTTGTTATTCAAATGAAATATTATAATTAAGGAGGAACACCTAATAAAGTTCGTTTGAACGATTAAGATTGCTTAAACAATAAAATGCTTGATTTGATTCGAATAATGGAAACTAGGTTTGCGTATTCGAGTACTTGAACACCTCTATCGAGCACCTCGGTGAAGGTACGGTAGAAGCGTAATTCAAGATGCGTCGAGCAAAGTCGTAGTTGGATTCTGTCGAGGCGAGCGAACGTGCGTACGAAGCGTGTTTGCACGTGCAAGTCGGTAAACGAACCTGGACTTATAAAGACCAATCTTTTGTGCGTTAAATCCCGCGTCACGCCATTCAAAACAATCAGTCTCGCGTGTCTAGAACTCTACTATGCAACGTTCTTAATATCCTTAAGTATCAGCATTCGCGAGAACATCACAAATATATACTTCAAAAATATCTGAGAAATCACATTCTATTGGCTTGGCAACCAAGTAATTGCGGATTCTGTTAATGAAATAGAAGACAATTTTTTTCATGGAACGAAATACCTTTATTTTGAACAATTACCTTCCGCCATCTTTCAGGCAACATCGTAATTCCACTTTTATAAAAGTTCTGGATTTTATCGGCAAAAAATTGAACCAAGTGTGACTCGATATCATCAACGTTATTGAAATTGTCACCATTCAAGAAGTTTTGCAAAGAACGAAACAAATGATAATGATTGCCACGGTGGTCACCGGTGACCGACACTCTGAACTTGCAACGCGTTGCAATATTATTAACAAATGGAAGAATTCTAATGTAAAATAGTAAATAGCGCTACTTTAATTTGGAACAGTATAAAATGATAAATTTACCATTATTATCGGATATTTCTATGCTTCTATAATTTAAGCAAATAAACGTAGAAGTTAACGTAGCAGTCAACGCGTTAAATATATTATTGTAAACTGGATTTTTATTAGCAGAGTAACGAACAATGGTAAAATATATTTGTCTAAATTATTGCTTTCCAATAACGCGTTGATTGCCACGGTGGTCACCGGTGACCGACTCTTTGAACTTGCAACGCGTTGCAATATTATTAACAAATGGAAGAATTCTAATGTAAAATACTAAATAGCGCTACTTTAATTTGGAACAGTATAAAATGATAAATTTACCATTATTATCGGATATTTCTATGCTTCTACAATTTAAGCAAATAAACGTAGAAGTTAACGTAGCAGTCAACGCGTTAAATATATCATTTTAAACTAGATTTTTATTAGCAGAGTAACGAACAATGGTAAAATATATTTGTCTAAATTATTGCTTTCCAATAACGCGTTGATTGCCACGGTGGTCACCGGTGACCGACACTTTGTGCAACACGTTGCAATATTGTTTACGATAGAAGAACTCTAATACTAAAATTATAAATAACTTAATATCGCGAAAGAACAAATAAAATTATCGTATATTTCTATGTTACACGCTATAATTTAAAGAAACGTCGGGGACATCTTCAGCCATTTTAACGTGTTGTCTCGACGGAAAGGCGCTGGAATTGGCAAAAATCTCGTAGTCGAAATCGACTGATATTTTATACGGACGATTCGCCGCGAGTAAGTAGACAGCGCGTTGAACAATGCCGTATCATAGTGTTTGGCGACCTATCAAAACACGCGTGCGAGGACTGAAATTTATTTGCGCGTTGTTTCGATTTTTCGTCGGCGGCATCGGTGTTGCAGAACCCGCGGGGCCCGTCGAGGCGAGTAAAAGGAAGGCCAATCGCGGGCGCGGGACCGCGTACGGTGGGCGTGTCGCGCGCTGGAACGCCCAGCGAGAGGTGTTTGGCCGCCAACTGGACGGGAGGGCGTAGCCAACCGTGGGACCGAAGCGGTAGCCCGTTAGTCCCAAGCGAGCGTCGCGGGCACACCTTTTTCATCGCGTTCGTAGTCGGAGAGAAAGAGAGAAACAGAAAGGAACCCCCATTGTTCGTGGACTTGGTTGGAGGGACACGAGGGTACCAGTGGCAGAACTGACACGTTATTGCAGCGGTACCTCTCGCAACGAAAGCTACGCGTGCTGCCTGCTTATTCCTTTTCTTGTTTCGCATCTTTGTCCGGATCCCGCTGGCCACGCACTCGCGCGGATCTCGCCGGGCCTGTTTTTCCTTTCATTTTCTTCACCCTTTTCGTATTATTATTATCAGTATTATTCTTGTTCCTTTTCTCGCGGTTCGGTCCCGATCCCTTCTATCTTCGCGCGCGTGTTCCGCTCCGTTTCTCTTCTCCCGTTCTCCGTCTCCGTCGCAAGCCTTCTTGCCTCGGGCTGTCGGTGCCGGCGCGGCCCGGTGCAGCGCGGCGCGACGCGAGGCGACGCGACGCGGCGTGTGCTTCCTCTCGCTAGCGCGACGAGGCTTCCCCGTTAGTGAAATCTTCTGCTTGTGACTCGGTTAAAGATCGAACAGTGACCGATCGCGACGATAAGGATTTCGGTACGCGCGCCACGTCAGGATGGATGTCACGAACGGCATGAGGCCCATTTTCGGAGGCTACCCATTCCAAGGTTGGTACTCACCCTCTGAATACTATGGAGCCTTAACAATCTCTCTTCGAAAACGAGAGGAATATGGTCTAGGCAATGGTAATGTCTGGCCAACATTCAAATTTCATACGATTTTTTTCGACACTGGATAGTTGGGATTTATCGAGATCGTTGATTAAAAATTTTGAGCTAAATATTTATAACTAGACTGCGGATGTTTATGCATTTATGGGAAATTTTAATCCTCAAAAAACTACAGAATGCATTTAATATGCAAAAATATAAGAAATACTTAAAGTAAGATACGAATTATTATATTTAGGGGTTGAGACAGCCCTCTGCGAAGCTTCCGTTTCATTAATTCTATTAATAAAAATGTGAATTTGCTTGAAGATCCGCGGTCTATTTATAACTAAAGATTTTGGAAACTTTCTTTGAAAACGAAAGGAAACGGTCATTTCTGACCAAAATTCAAATTTCATATTATTTTATTGATACTTGATAGTTGGGGATTTTCAAGGTCGCTGGTTTAAAATTTCAAATTAAATATTTGTAACCAATGATTGTCGAGTCTCTGTTTGAAAACATAGGGAAACGATAGTCTGGAAATCGGTAACTTTTGGCCAAAATTTAAATTTCATACGATTTTTTTGAAACTTGATATTTGAGGATTTTTGAGGTTGCTGATTTTGAATACTAAATATTTATAACTAGAGATTTTTTAATCTCTCTTTGAAAACGAGAGGAATATGGTCTAGCCAATGGTAATTTCAGGTCAAAATTCAAATTTCATATGATTTTTTTCGACACTTGATAGTTGGGGGTTTTCGAAGTCGCTGATTAAAAATTTTAAGCTAAATATTTATAACTAAAGATTTGGGAAACTTTCTTTGAAAACGAAAGGAAACGATCATTTCTGGCCAAAATTCAAGTTTCATACAATTTTATTGATACTTGATAGTTGGGGATTTTCAAGGTCGTTGGTTTAAAATTTCAAACTAAATATTTGTAACCAATGATTTTGGAATCTTTCTTTGAAAACGAAAGGAAATCGGTAACTTTTGGTCAAAATTCAAATTTTATACAATCTTTTTAAAACTTGATAGTTGGGGGTTTTCGAGATCGCTGATTTTGAATTTTAAAGTAAATATTTCAAATTTAATATTGCGGTGCACAGTCCAATTTTTATTTGTTCTATACAACGCAAATTATAATTATATAAATTGTAACAAAATACGTGTGCTACGTTTTTTAAAGAACTCAACCTATGAGAAGTGGTAGCCTAGAGGCCCTCAGTGTAGACAAAATTAAAAAATTTAGAGAACTTCGTGTCAAATAAGCTAAATGAGTATAAATATCATGGGCCTTAGAAAACCTAATTTTTCACTTTTTCTAAATTGATACAAAATCGAAGATCTAGAAAATGGGGTGGTAATGTGAGACAGCATTACTTTTCTGGAACACTTGGCACTGGTTATAAACTCTCTTAAATCACGTTTCTTAATTTAGTTTTCTCTTTCTCGGTTCTAAAATGGCAGCCAATTCTCGATTTTACATCGTAGACCTTAAAATTCATTTAAAATTCTCACAAACATCACAATTTCTCGATTAATTACTACAGGAAGTAGTAGAAATGTAAGATATCCTTTTTATTGTTTAACCTAGAGACTCTCGAAATTGAAAAAATAAAAAAATTTTGATGAATAAATTCAGAGAATTTTATGTGAAATAAGCTGCATTAGTATAAATATTATAGACCTTACAGAACTTATAACATTTTTAGTTTTTCTAAATTGATGCAAAATGGAGTATCTAGAAAATGGGATGACAATATGAGACAGCATTACTTTTCTGGGAAATAAGTTCCGAAACTGCGTTGAAGGGATCGTAGAAATATTTTAATATCACACAAGTCTGAAATATGATAATACAATTATAGTTTACGATGAATCCATAATTGACAGGACACACATTGAATCCACAGCTCACCCTTAATGTCTTCAGAAAACATACTGTTGCAAAATATGCAAACTGCATCGTTTAATCCTGTTTGAAGCTTTTCAAACTAGTATCAAATGTCTCATATTGCTACCACCTCTCGATTTTATTTTTCTTTCTCATTACATTACAATTAAACGCACAATAACTTTAAAACCTCATTGGTATTATGAAACTGCGATTATCATAGAATAATTTACCTTCCGGCTTTTCTTCAAAATCACAAAATAAATAACAGAAAATTGCACTTGACCACCTACGCGTGAAAACTTTCTGTTGCATCGGGAACAATAAGCATCTGTTAAACAATGGAATTACATAATGACGGCTGTTGGTATATGATGTTACTATGATCTTAATACTTCGTTTTCATCCATTGTTACAACTGTCAGTACTGCATTCGAAACCTTAGTGTCTCATAATTCTACCTTCTCCTTTGCTCCAGAAAATAATGGAAAAAATTTACAAACATATTAATACACAAAACGCGACAAAATATTCACCTTTTATAGTTAAAAAAAAAAAAATTATTACCTTACGACGATGTAAATAATGGTGAACTGTAAATATAGGGACTTTTTTTTTTATAATTCATGACTTTTAACAGCGACACCATTGGAGTTTAAAAATTGTAGGTTATGTTGAGAGGATAGAATGAATAGTATTCTTCGTGTTCAGAATCCTTTTGATCTTCGTCAGTTATTTTGCGAGCTGTTATGCTTAATATTAATCTATCGGAAGTATCAATAAAATTTTTGGGTTGATTCTACTACGGTCTATAGTAATACATGTACAGAATGTGTAACTAAAATTTTACGTCAATTGGTGAACTGTAAATATAGGGACATTTCTTTTTATAATTCATGACTTTTAATATCGACGCCATTGGAGTTTAAAAATTGTAGGTTATGTTGATAGGATAGAATGAAGAGCCCCATAACCATAAACTAAACAATCGAAAGTGTCATCTGTAACCCAGTGGTACCAACCGAGTTTAAGGGGGGGAGAATTTGCATCCGATTCGTGCAAAATCTAGTTACTTTTTGTTATATTCGAGAAACCCTGAAAATCTATGTAGGGAAAAGTAACCTTGCGTCGTGAGGATCGAATGCATTTCCACGACGGTGAAATGCAGTTTTGCTTACTTTTTATTGGCCAATAACCGGTTGTCGATCTTTCAATTTGCAGTTGAGTCATTCCATGCGAAATCGGACACTTGTTAGAGTAACGTGTCGCCTCTGGCGACAGCCCGACAACCGGTCACCCTGCAGAAGTCTCTCGCCAACGATCCCCGCCCTTATTTCATTCTTCTCCGCCATACTAATTAACATTTCCTTTTATTTTGCTCGAAATCATCAATTTCACATTTTTCATCCTCGATACGCGCGAATCTGTTATTATTGTAACATCGTTTTATTTCTATTTAATTCTATTAAACATATTTCTTCCTATTTTAACCCTTTTACTCATATAGCTGGAGTTATTTTAACCAAACAAAGTACAAATATTATGTTAAAAGTATGTAGTTCTGTGCAACCTACCAGCCATTTTAAATTCTGTTTCCTTTGGAAATAAATGACTGAAAAAAGAAAATTAGAATACTGTGTCTGATATTGTATATTATATTAAAAAATATGTAATTGGTAATTAAGTGCATAGAAGATCACTATATCTCCACTGAAAAAGTGTTGATATTTGAGTAGCTGCAACTTTATTAAAAAGAAGGGTTTATTTCAAAGGGTGAATCCTTTGCATTTAAAATTTTTAAATAACTTTTTATCTTAACTCGCGAGGTAAACGCGGTCACCGGTGACCGTCGTGACGCTCAATATATCAGGGGGTGTTTTTGTCCCCAAACAAGCAAAAATTAAACAATAGGGATCTGCTAGAAAGTTGCAAAGTTAAAAACCAATAAATTCCCTCGTTAAAAACGAAACTCACACCGAACGAAATAATATGAAAATAATAACAACAGAGTGTAATATTTAGTTAAAATTCGTACACGATTACCTTTTGATTCCATACCGTGTGTTTAGTGACATAATAGGTAGCAACGATCGGTGGATTTTTTCCTCGAAGAAAACGTTTAATGTAATCGGTATAGCGTGTATGTTTGCTCGTTGTTACGAGCGCACTTTTGCATACAAGTATAGTAATTATAAAGGAGTAACGCGGCGCTGGTCGGCAAAGAAAGTAATGCCGCGTACGGAAGAATGGCTAATTCGACTAACGATCGGACATTATACTCGTTAGCCTTGAAAACGGCCTCCTGTGCGCATAACTTTTTCAATTTTACGGTTGTTAGTCGCATTTTTGGTATTCGCTCACTCAGACTCGCCGACCTGTTATCTGATTTCACGTTTGCGCTTCGAAGCTGGATTCAGCCGTTAATTTCAAGCCCAATCACTACAATTGCGCCCGGGACTTTTTCCTTTCCTGTCTCTAAACCATACTACTTTCGTGCCATGTCTCGAGCCCTCCTCTCCTCCTCTGTAATTGAATGCTTTTTGACATCGGTGGAAACTTACGCTGCCTCTAACAGGCCGGAAATAAATTCGCAGAAACGTCGAAATTAAGAAACTTACACTTTCTGTTGTAAAAAAAGTCCCTAGAAAGATGAAAAATAACGAAACTTTAGACTAGAGTACTCTCTTAATATGTATAATCGATTAAATAGATCGCATTGAAAAATCAAATGGAATCGTGATTGTGTATGTGAACCAAAATAGTGAAAATTTGCAAAATAGCGGCACTTTGAGTTCAGAATATCGATTTGCCTGGCTATTTTTCCAAGAATCCTTCTGATTTTTCTCAACCAGTAGACTACTTTTTTTCACATAATTCAATCAGTTTTGATCATTTTCACTTGACAAAAATTGTAAACATTCGTGAAACATAAATAAATATTCATGTAATAACAATAACAATAATATAATATAACTCTACCGTGTGTTTCAAAACAATAGGAGAAACTAAAGAATTTAAATTCCTCGTGCAAAAAGAAATCGAAAAGTCCTTTGCCACTTTTCGATCCGAAGCTTCGTTGTCGAGATATGAGCGGTTAAAGTCTCTGCGCTGTAAATGGCGTGTGCGCAGGCGCGCGATCAACTGACTGACAAGGGAAGCTTCCGGCAGTGGAAGTCGCTTTTAAAACGATAATAGGTACAAGTCATAGTGCATACTTAGTATCAAAAAACCGTGAAGGGTTTTTTCAAAACGGGCCTTTGTTATTTATATTTTAATTTATATTATATTTTAGATATTTTAATTTAAAGTTTTGTACGCAACTAGCAAATAAATTATTTAACGCAAATTAGCAGAACGAGTTGTGGATAAGTTGGTAGAGTGGTTGACTACTGTTCTGGAGGTAGTACGTTCGAATGCCCGGTTGTTCTTGCTACTTTTTTCTTTTTTTTTAATACAACCTTGAAATGAAAAAATATTTTATTCATTTATTCATATGATATCAATAATAATTGCTAAAACAAAAAATATAAATTTTTAATATAGAAATTAGAAGCACAGTAATAAAATAGCAGTATGTATCGCATTTATTTTTCTGCATTAGTCATTATCAGGTGAATTCTGTATTCACTGTTCATATCACCACTACGAACACTGATAATACATTTCAAGCAATTGTTGGAATAACGGCAGTGCTGGTCTCGGTCATTAGATAAGCTTATTATTAATGGGAAATATTGTAAGATTAATAATGTACAATATTGATTGTTTTTTTTATTCTTTTTTAAATTCTGTACAACACTTCGGATGATATTCACAATAAGAACATAAAAAACATAATTTGAGGAAGCACCATGCACATTCTATAAACGTAACTTTTTTACAATGACATACACCTAACGAGAACTCTTGTTTTTTGTTTTACTATTAATAATGATGTCACATAGGATTAACATTAAATGATTTTTCATTTTAAAATTGTATTAAAAAGAAAGAAAAAAGTAAGAACGACAACGGGGGATTCGAACGTACTACCTCCAGATTCGTAATCAACCGCTCTACCAACTAACCCACAACTCAATATCAAAAAGTTTTTAAAATAATTCATTTGCTAGGTGCGTACAGAACTTTAAATAAAAATATCTCGAAAACGAAGGCCCATTTTGAAAAAAACCCTTAAGGGTTTTTCGATACTAAGTATGTACTATGGACTTGTACTTACTACCGTTTCAAAAGCGACTTCCACTGTCGGAAGCGCCCCTTGTCAGTCAGCTGATCGCGCGCCTGCGCACGCGTCTGCGCACACGCCATTTACTGCGCAGTGACTTCAACTGCTTATATCTCGACAACGAAGCTTCGGATCGAGACGTGGTAAAGGACTTTTCTATTTCTTTTTGCTCGAGGAACTTAAATGTTTCGGTTTCTCCGATCGTTTCGAAACGGCCAGCATCGAAACGTGCTCGTCGTGTTCAAATAAATATTGAAATTTGTATGTTAATCGAAGAAAAGCAAATAATTAAAACAGTGATGAAATATTTCTGTCAGGACAGGGGCGTATGAATCAACTGGGCGGTGTCTTCATAAACGGGCGACCTCTTCCGAATCACATTCGATTGAAAATCGTTGAAATGGCTGCGGCAGGGGTTCGTCCTTGCATTATCTCGCGGCGTCTTCGCGTTTCTCATGGCTGCGTTTCGAAAATTCTGAATCGCTATCAAGAGACGGGCTCCATCAGGCCCGGTGTCATCGGCGGCAGCAAACCGAGGGTCGCCACCCCCGAAATCGAGGCAAGAATCGAAGAAATGAAGAGGGATAATCCTGGAATCTTCTCGTGGGAGATCAGAGAAAAGCTCGTCAAGGTAAGCGTAGAAGACTGTCTTTGCGCGATGGTCATGAAAATTATTCGACACACTGATTGCCGGACCAAACTGAAATTGCCCACGAAAATGAAACTTTGCTTTTAGACAATTGATGAAGATCGAACGAACGAGATAACTTGAACGTTAGAATAAGATTGCATAAAAACTATTTAATTACAGCTATTTTGTTATACGTCGATGAATGTCTGAGTTCTTAAATGAAAATGGCAAATAGAGAAAATGGAGACGATAGTAACACGAGTTTAGTTTTAGAAAATGAAGACATTTGTTAGAAGAAAGTACAATGAAAAAAGATACGATTAATGTTTTGATACATGGAAAGATGAAATTTTTATTAGGCGTCACAAATGTGACAAATATATAAATCATTTTCATGTGACCAATCCTGAGAATTACAAAATTGAATCCATTTTTCGTTACAATTTGTGGAAAATCTGTTCTGGAAAACAATTTCTTAAACTACAAGACGGTAACTTCGATTGCACGTACGGATTTTTATAAATAATTATTTATTATAAAATGATGGAACTTTGAAGGCAAAATTTCAAAAAATTGTGACAAAATCAATATTTCTTTTAACACCGCGTTTCATGTTTCAAATTTCATGCGAATTTTTGAAACATCATAACTCCTGAACGGATTGGACGATTTTAATGTTTCAAAATGCAAACGACGCGTATTTTAATGAAGAATATGTAGAAATTCTAAGAATATTGAAACAGTTGTTCCTTCACCCCCTAAAGTAACAAAAACACCACACAAAAATGGTCCAATTTTCAAACAATCATAACTTCTACAATAGCGAATATATTTCAATGAAACTTTTTTCTGAAGTAGAGCTCTTGGCCACCTACAAAAAAGTATTAGATAACTTTTCTGTAAAGCGTCAAACAAAATTACTAAAAATCAAAAACGAATTTCAAGAAAAATCGAGAGGGGGTAGCTGCTGAAATTTTGTCGATGAAAACAAAAAATTTCAAATCATTTTGAAAAAATTATTTTTGGTTGCGGGGATCAATTACAATCATTTTTTGTGAATAGACACATCCCCGAAATCCTAAGCACTTTCGCGAAAAAAATTCGAGTAAGTGCTGAAAGTTTTCGGTGGAAAAAAAAGACTTTCGAATCGTCTTGGAAAAATTATTTTTAGTTGCGGGGGTCAATTACACGCATTTTTGGTCAACAGACATACCCCCGGAATCCTACTCAGTTACGAGAAAAAAATTCCTTACCGAAAATATAATTTCTTGCCAGAAATGTCTGCCTAAATTTTTCGATGGAAACAAAAAATTTCAAATCATTCGCGGAAAAATTATTTTTGGTTGCGGGGGTCAATTACAATAATTTTTGGTGAACACACATACCCCCGAAATCCTACCCACTTTCAAAAAAAAAATTCAGTAGGGGCGGAACTTTGATTTTCGTCTTATTTTGACGTCTAGAGTCTCCCATTAAAATTTTTCCCAGGGGTGGTCGAACACCCTGTACATGGGACGCGCGACGTGAAAGAAAGAGGAAAAGCAGAAGGGTGAAGAAGAAAACGGGTGACCCAGGGCGAGGATGTAACCGCGTCCACGTCGAACGAAAAAGGGAAGGAGCGAAAAATAGAAAGTAATGGAGAGGTAAAAGGGAGAAAAAAGTAGAGGAAGCGAAAAAGGGGGTCGTTGGTGTCGATGGCTATCTTTCGGATCGACGATCTCAGAAACAATAACGATCCTTGTGCCGTTGATGGCGGTTGAGGCTTTAGGTCCGGGGCGATGACAGGAGGAGAGAGACAGAGACCTTTGGGACGAGGAACGGAGAAAGATGGACGCCGCCTCGGGTTCTCCAACCGAGGAACGCCTCTTTCCAGCATTAAATGCCGTATTAATGCCGGCTACGACCGCCTGCTTCCACGACTGCAACGGCGTACGCGTTCTCGAAACACTTCTTCCCTCTCCTTTCGTTCGTCTCTCGGTTCCACCGGTCCCGACATTCCTCCACCTTCGTACGATTTATCTCTTTATCGAGAATCGGCCCGAGTAAGTAAGTACCTACACCTCGTAACCGCGCCGCGCCGCGATCAATCGCCTTTTATTGGCTCGATCGGAGATGGAATTTCCGGCCGGATCTCGGTTTGAGAACCTCCGGTGATCCCCGATTTGATTTTGGCCCCGTAAAAGATAGGTTATGCTGGCTCACGGCTATTTGCACCGTTTTCTCTTACTTTCGCGCCGAAAACTATTAATCTCGCCGCGCTGGGACTGCGGATATTTACGCGTCCAAGGGAAATTTTAATTCTCGGAAAACTATAAAATGCACTTAATACGAAAAGATTATATTTAGAGGTTGAGACAAAGCTCCACAAAACTCCCATTTCACCGCAACTCTATCATAAGAAAATCATTGAGAAAAGGTGGCAACTTTGTTCCCCTTTTTTGAAAATCGAACCTGTCAAATTTCAAACCCTTTTTTTTCAAATTTTCTAACCAGTTTTGCTCGCAAGAAACCATACAAGAGAGAATTTTACCAATGATATGTTAATTTAAAGCAAAATATTTGTAATTTTCGATGGAACCGTTCCACCGTCGGATCGGTCATTTTTCGAGAAATAATTATTCCAAATTGCCGGGGTTAGCAATTTTTCAAGGTGGTCGTTCGACGGAAGAGTTTATTCTTGGAAAAGTCGTGTTTTGCATACTCGAGCATCGCGTCACGAACGAAGGAGTGTGTTACGCCAATGAGGCGTGGGTGTAGACGGCGGGCAGTAACGTATTAAAGGACACGCGAGTTCCCTTGGGGCGCTCACGTACACTCCTGGCCAGCTGGTGCACGCCTCATGCACAATATTAAAAAGCCCCATTCACCGTGATCTTTAGAGAGATAGAGAGACCCTGCGGAAACGTCCACCCCCAATCGAGAGATCGAACAATACCTTTCGTGGCTTTCCTTCGCGGGGAAACCGAGGCCGCGAAATTAATACTTTGGACAAACTGTTCGTACTTTCACGGCTCTGATGAATCCTGTTATTCCTAATCGAGACTTCCTAGTGCACGACTGTATTCCTACGGAGTCTCTTCTCGCCCCGTTCCCGTTCAAACTCGATTCGCGACACGCCAATGCGATGCCTTCGTCGCTTGATTGTTTATACAAAATTTGAGAATTATTATAATTCAACGAGTTAAAAACTATACAAAACTATTCAAATATCAAACACTAGTTATTTAAACGAATGGGTATTTTTTTAAATATCTAAAATTATCATTATTTTTTATTTTATCTGAACTTATCTAAAATTTATTTCAGCGAACTTTATTATTCGAATGTGATGCTATAATCAAGTAAGAATACATAAGATCACGTTTGTTTAAATAATTAAGATTGCTTAAACAATCAAATACTTGACTTCGTTTAAGTAATCGAAGGTAAGCTTGACTCTTGTACACTGCTGACCAATATTATACAGGGTGTTCGGCCACCCCTGGGGAAAAATAAGACGAAAATCAAGAATATCAATTTCTTGACTGAGGCTTCGTTAAAAAGTTATTAACAAATTAAATTAAAAAATTCAAATCATTCTGAAGAAATTATTTTTGGCTGCGGGGCTTAATTACAATCATTTTTGGTGAATACACATACCCCCGAAATCCTACACACTTTTGAGAAAAAAATTCCTTACCGAAAATCTAATTAGATGCCTAAATTTTTCGACGAAAAAAACAAATTCCAAATCGTTCTAGAAAAATTATTTTCGGTTGCGGGGGTCAATTACAATCATATTTGGTGAATAGACATACCCCCGAAATCTTGCGCATTTTGGAGAAAAAAATTCAGTAGGGGCGGAACTTTAAAGGTTAACAACTTTTTAACGAAGCCTCCATCAACAAATTGGTATTCTTGATTTTCGTCTTATTTTGGCCTCTAGAATCCCCCATTAAAATTTTTCCCAAAGGTGGCCGAAGACCCTCTATATGATTTTTTATCTAATAAACGAAAACAATAAAAATTGATTGAATTTCGTGTTACATTACTATAACCAATAAACCGATTTCAATAATAGTTATCTGATCTAGAGGTGTCCAGTTACTACTTGAAAATACAAGCCCAGTCTAGCTTACTAATTTTTTTTTTTTTTTTTTTTTTTAATTATAGTATTATTGTGTAATTTAATTATGGTGTCTTTATTTGCACCAAAGAAATTAAGACGATAGATAGAAGAAGAAATTAAAGAAGTAGTGTAATGGAAATAAATATTTATTCATTCTCTTATAAAAAAACCGCGGTTAATTTTCAAAAATTTCAGTCGAGTAAATTTCTTATAATTTTTATTAGAAATTACAAATCATTTTAACCGCTTCCGGTAGTTCTAGCGTTGATAATAAACCGAATAAGACTTGGATAAGCTTAAATTAAGTAAAAAATAAAAATAAAAATCTATTAAATAACGATTAAAATTTATAGAAAATTTCAAATTTCTTACAGTTTAAAATAGAATAATACTACTTAAATTTAATCGAGTCGTTCAAACATTCGGACAGATTTAATTTCCTCTATCGAACGTTCAAGCTATTTGGATAATCAAATACTTGACTCGGTTTGGAAAAATTAGTTTTGTCGTGGTTTGAATATTTCATGTACTTGTTCAGATTTAGAACGATGGTCTTTGCGAATGACGTTAACGTTTATTTTAAACAGGAAGGCTTCTCAGATCCACCGAGTGTCAGCTCTATCAGCAGATTGTTGCGCGGCGGACGACCAGGCGACGACGGAAAGAAAGATTACACCATCGACGGAATTCTGGGCGGCGGTAAGTGATTTATGAACTCTTCTTTCGAAAAATATTCATCCTAAACTACGCGACCACCCGTTATATTAACCCTCGAACGACGACTATGGGTCCAATTTCACTCGAATCTGAATTTTCAATATTCCCTAGTACCTAGTTATTTAATATAGGGAATTTCAATATTCCCTAGTACCTAACAGATTTCTAATTTTTATTTTTAAAACATTTGTAAATTCTTCGTCGTTAATTACACAAAATCACTCTGAAATTGTTTGTCAAAAAACTTCACCGTTCTAAAATAGTTTGCAAGTCCATGGAATTTTATGAAAAATTTATAGTTTATGTCCCACTTACCCATGGAATTTTATGAAAAATTTTATATCGTCGTTATGGAACTTGTTTGCTTTTTCATTCAAATTGAACGCTGTTCTTTGGTACGTTTAAAATAGTTTGCCTAATAAAAAGCGTTAAAATCGGCAAAATAAGTGATAACTCAACGAAACAACGTATGGAGAATAAATAATTAGGTGTGATTAAATTTCCTAATCAAATCCACGTTATTGCTTTCTTTCCACTTGATGATCCTGGATTATTTATATTGTTTTACCGACGTTTTCACTTAACCGGTAATTCGATGAAATTATCAATAATATAATACGTCGGTAACTTTTTTTTACCGACAGTTTTTACTGTACTGATAATATAAAAATAAATATTGTAAAAACAGTTTATTAAATCCTGATCAAGAATTCTTAGAAATACGTATAAATAAATCTATTCTGAACATGAAACATGAAACTATGTCACATAAAATACATACATATATTAGCAAACTATAATCAAAATGAAAGACAAACAGTCTGTCTTGTTTTTCTAGCTGAAATGTCAGCTTTGAATTCTTTATACATTGTACAATAAATCTGTTCATTTCGTTAAAAAGTTTAAAGCTCGGCAACTATTTCATTCTTCCATCAGGAATCTCGCAAATGCAATTTCCATTGCATTTTAAATACGTATAGAGAATCTATTACTATATTTAATTCATTTAATTATCGGTAAGGTAGAGGCGAATTACCGGTAAATCTTCGAGGCTATTTTTTTCAGATTTACCGACAAACCGATTTACCGATATTACAATCATTATCGGCAGAGTTGAGCAAATATTATTTACGAACAACGAATAAGTATTTTAAATTCGCTCGTAAACTTTCGTCCATAAATCTCTCAATGAATATTTATTCATATGAATGAAACGTAAACGAAAATTAGTTTACGAATGGATGTAAAAGTCGTTATCCGTGAATACAATTTGCCCAACTCTGACGACGTGGTAACGAACGTGTTAGTAATTATCGTAACTGAATATTTACGAGGTTTCTTCGACGACGTACGTATCGCGTATCCGTGGAACTTTAATTACGGCGCTGCAAAAAATATAATAGAAAAATAAGAAGAGGAGAAACTAACACGGAAAATGAAAGATGAGAAGGAACGAGTCCTTGGTCGGTCCATCTTCGAAGGGGGTACATCAAGGGCTTTTAACCTCGTGTATCTACGAACGAAGTTTGACATACGCGAGCGTGTGTACGAGACTTTACGCTCTGTCCTGCGTCGCATCGTCGGTTAGGCCAGGTTAGCCCGAGCGAGCCAGAAACCCTTCAGGATTTAATCCTCGGTGGGCGTGATCAGGATTAGCTAGATTGCCCACACGTCTGTCAAATGGATTACAGGAGTGTCAATATCTTACACCGCGCACATTATCCTTCTTCTTACCTTCCTTCCGACTTCTCTTTACGTTTCCCGCCATTTTTCATTTCGATTTCGCTCCAGGCTTCTTTTCTATACAATTATGTCAGTTTTTCTATTACAATTTTTCTATTCTATAAGAAGCATCAAATTTTGTCGACTTTAAAAAGAAATATAAAAATATAGGAAATATATTTTAAAATTTGAATTTGAAATTGTTTTCAAAATTTTTTTAATCTATTTTCCTACAATGATTGTTTCATTTTGTTGAATAATATGAATTACACGCGTCATTTTTTCTATTATAGTTTTCCTATTCGATTAAAACGCATTAAATTTTATCGACTTTAATAAAAAATATAAAAATATAGGATCTTTTAAAATTTTAACTTGAAATTATATTCATATTTTCATAATCATTTTCCCTACAATGATTGTTTAATTTTGTTGAACGATATCAATTATGTGCGCCATTTTGTTTATTATAGTTTTCTATTAGACTTTAAGAAAAAATATAAAAATGTAGGACCTTTACAAATTTTAACTTGAAATTGTTTTCAAAATTTTTTAATCATTTTTCCTACAATGATTGTTTAATTTTGTTGACGGATATCCTTTTCCCCTAAATATTTTTCTTTAACAATCATTTCCACAGTTATTTATATCAAAATGCAAAGCTGTGAAAAAACACTTTTTGGTCGAAATAGGTATTCCTAAGAAGTAGAAATAGTGTTAATGGATTATTCTTTGGAATTTAAAAAAGAAGATGCTGTGGGTTTGTGCAGCGTCTTACGTGTGAAATTGTGAGTACATATTTATATTGTGAATACTCTAGTTATGATACCAGAAATCACATTCCTGATTGTTGCAAATAACTTTTAAAACTTACAAATGACATTTAACAAAGAATCTACGCCGCCATTTTTACTGTCTATGTGCGGAAAAATAAGTTTATTTTCCACTCGTTCTTTTTAATTTTATAGCGTAAAGGTAAATTGAAAATTACTCTCAATCATTTTTTAACCCAAACTACCGAGAGTTTGAAATATAAACGTTCGTTAGTTTCTCTATGATATTATTTAATTTTTATTTGCTCCCATAATTGTCAATTTTCTATTCGTTTCAAAGAAACTGGTATTACAAATACGTTGCACTTCCTCTGGTACCTCTGGTGGAATTTGTTAGTACCATTCTAAGGCTAATTAACACTAGAACTACCAAACCAGTCAAAATGACCCATTCCGCGATTCCATTATGCACCGCTAACAGAAAAGTTAATAGCTTTCTTAGCTATTGTGCCAACTTAACCTCCAAATTACTCCAACCAAATTATAAACTCACGAAACTCGAGATCTAAATGCTTGCTTTTCCCTTAAGTTTCCAAAAACTATTTTATCGAGAAAATAAATATTTTTTATACAAAATCGATTCATTTATCGGATATGATTAAATGAAAAATGTATTAACACTAGAACTAACAAACGAGTCAAAATGACCCATTCGTAATTTCTAATAAAACCTGTAAAAAATATACTGTAATTTTCTATAAGAGAATGAATAAACACTTATTTCCATTGCATTATACATTTCTTCGCGCACCAATCGTTTCAATTTCCATGGTATAAATAAACACACTGTAATCGTCGATAGTTCTAGCGTTAATGAAACGGAAGGGAAAGAGAAAGAAAGTAAAAATCCCGTAGGCATCGTCTCGCGTGAAACTGAATTCCGTAGCCGTTAAGAAATCGCCGATGAAGAAACGCGACGAGCCCGGTCCCCGTTGACACGAGGCGAGAATTTGTTTTCGTGAGTGATACAGGTAGACAAGAAGGAATTAGCAGTACAGGTGTTCCGAGTTCCGAACTCCTAAAAGTCAGATCGTCAGGCACGCTGTCGCGGGAGGGGAAGAGGGGATGAAGGATAGAGTCTCGTAAAAAAAAAAAAATAGTCTCGGAGAGGGAACGAGGCGGGAGGAGTGAGCGAGGCGAGAGGAGGCAGGAGCGCGATAAAGCGGAGAGAGAAACGGGACGTCGGTGAAAAGAGACCGACGTGCACGCATGCGTTTATTTTTAGAGAGAAGACGAGAGAGACGGGCGTACAGAGGGCGACAGGGTCGCGGAAAGGGATAGGTAGATTGTTGGACCGTGGATCCTGGAGAATGCGAAGAAAGAGGCGAGAGGGAAGGATGAAAGAGGGCAGCAAGGACCGTGAGCCCCATGATGGTCCCGCGGAGATCAAACGGGCCGACTGCCACACGTCGGCAGCGGTGCTCATTCGCGGCGCCCCAATAACGTTCTAGAAATTTTCAAAATATACATCGCGACTGTTCGGTGGCTGCTGGCCAATATTACAAGTTCCGGTCACTTTTTTAATTGCTCCTTTCAAACGAGAAAATTTAAATCGAATGTTCGAGCGACTCGATTGTTTATGCGAAATTTGAGAATTACTATAATTCGATAAGGCAAAAATTTGCAAGAGTTATACTTGTACTTTATACTTTCTTTAAAAAGGATAGAAAATTATTCAATCGTCGAACCCAACTTATTTAAACGAATGGGTAGTTTCTTTTTAATTTTTAAAAATGATTTTATTATTATCTTATTATTACTATGAAACTTTATTATTACAATGTAATACTATACTCAAGTAAGAATACATAGGATCACCTGTGCTGGTATAATTAGGGTTTCTTGGATAATTACGATTGCTTAAACAATCAAATACTTGACTTTATTTGAGCAATCGATGATGAGATTGTTTCTTGTTCACTGCTGGCCAATATTACAAGTTTCATTTTTTGAGTTATTGCTTCTTTCGATATTTGATCAAACTTGAAAAAATTTAAACTGTTCGAATGTTTGAGCGACTTGATTGTTTATGCGAAAATTTGGGAATTACTATAATTCAATAAAGTAGAAACTTGCAAGAGTTATACTTGTATTACGTATTAAGGATTTTAATCTTTCTTTAAAAACTATAGAAAACTATTCAAATATCAAACACAAATTATTCAAACGAATGGGTATTTGTTTTTTAATTTCTATAATTATCGTAATTATTTTTTACTTTATCTGAGCTTATCTAAATTTTATTTGAACGAACTTTATTATTCGAATATAATGCTATAAATAAATAAGAATACATAGAATCAAGTTTGTTCAAATAATCAAGTATCCTTGAATAATTAAGGTATCTTGGATAATTAAGTAAATTCTTCCGTTTTCTCTTTCAAATTAACTTTTATATTAACGTTTTAATTATACAAGTTTAAAATT